CACTGGGGAGCGTCACAGCAGCCTTTTCTGCCCTAGGCCTTGACAGGCTGGGCTGAGTCAGCCCCCACCGCCCACTGCTTCAATGTTGCAACATTTGTTGTCTCAAACAGGAGAGAACAGCCTGACAGGTTATTTTAGATTTCTTTATTTGCTTGAAAGGTAAAATTACAGAGAAATCTTCCATCCACTGGTTCATTCCCCCAATAGTCACAACAGCCCAGCTCCGGCCGGTCTGAAACCAGGAGCCAGGAACCTCCTCCGGGTCTCCCATGTGGATGTGAGTACCCAAGGCCTTGGGCCGTCCTCTGTTGATTCCTCAGGCACATCAGCAAGGAACTGGATGAGAAAAGGAGTGGCCAGACATGAACCAGTGCCCCTTTGAATGCCAGTGCCACAGAGAGAGGATTAGCCTACAGTGCCTCAGTGCTGGACCCCACGTTCTCTGTCTTCACTGGTGGTAGAGCCATAAACCCATGCAGCATAAGATGGATAGAGGGCCTACGGTACCTGTGCGTCCTGCGCCACCCACGGGATGGCAGCAACACAAGGCCGCCTCCCAGTGTGCACTGGCACACTGGACTTGGCAGCCAAGATGAGATTCGAACCTAGTTGCTCTGATATAGGACACGGACCACCCCAGCAGCCACTTAACTGTCCCCCACAGTATTCAATCAACGTTGCTTCCAATGAACCCGTATTTTACCATCTCTCTGCCTTCATGGAGGACTACAACGGAAAACAACGGCCAGTGCTCCCAGGGACCTATTCCAACACAGAACTTTTTGCCCATTTTGGCAGACGCCAGCCCTCAGCAGGGCCCTGCCGCGATCGTGGCTTCCTCGAGGAAAACACGGGAATCGAACCCAGACGGGACATCACCCGCCAGGACCACGCAGCTGCAGGTGGCAGAGATGGGACCAGCCCCCTGTTTTGCAGCCTGTGCCCCTTGCCTGGAATCCCCTTAGTCCAGCTCTCTGCTCTCCTGGTAGCTCTTGGCTCCTCCTGGGTCCCTGAGGAGCCTGGCCCTCTGTGTTTCTCTTTGCAGAGGACCAGCAGGCACTGCCGAGTCGGCACCTCCGCAGCCTTTTTCCTGGGAGCTCATATAGATACTGGCTGGGTTATCAAGCGGCTTTAGTGAGGGGGCACAGGTGAGCCTGCGCTAAGGATCCCAGACAGTGGCAGTAAGGGGTACCTGTTTCTGCTTCCCCCATCACTCCTTGCCCTCTGTCCCACTGCTCCCCCACCTCGAGGGAGTTTTTGCATCTCTCTCTGCCTTTCTGAGGCCCTCCACCCCCACCCTCAAGGAGCCGCTTAGGGAAACTGACAAGTACACAGGAGAAGTGGCGTCAATATCACTTGAGCTCTTCCTAGGCAGACAGGCTACAGGGAGGCTCGTGGCTCCAGAGTCATTTAATGGACATCCACCCACCCCCCTAAAAAAAAAAAAAAAAAAACACCGCCCAAAGGGAGGGGGAGAGGGGAAGCCTCCGTCCCAGTAACAGAGTTCTAGCACAACAGTTGGGGGGTTGGGGAGAAAGAAAGAACTAAAGCCATATATAACCCATTCTGGGAGGCTCCCAAGACGTGCCCTCGTTCAGGGAAGTGGCCCAACCTCAGAATCCCTGGCTGTCATTCCTTCCCATCCACTGTGCCCAGCAGTGACCAATGCCACCTGCTGAGCCAGAAATCCCAGCCTTGATGCCGCACAGGGCATTGGCCACAGAACCCCTCACCCAGAGGGTGGTGGGGAGGGGCAGACATTGATGCCAACTTCCCTAGCTGGGTGCTGCGTTCGTGTACTTGGCACAAAACCCTCAGCCTCTCTCTGCTCAGCTGTGAGATGGGACAATGAACAAACCCTGCTCAGCAGGGTTCAGAGAGATGGTGCAGGCCACTGAGTCCGTGGATGCCCACTGAGGCAGTCCCCTTCAGTGTAGGCCAGGCTCTGGGGTAGGTGCTGAGCCCATTCTCCCGAGACAGATGAGGAAGTGAGGCTGGGGGCGTGGTGCAGCAGGCAGCCCGTGGGCACTGGGTCAGCAGGTAAAGCTGTGGGTCTGACCCCAGGATTATTACGGCCAACTGCCCACCAAGTCACAACCAACATCCTCTCTGCCTGTTCCAGCCTCGGTCCCCTGTACCCCTGGAGTCTCCCAGCCTTGTCCTGTTCCTGCTGGGTGACCTGGAGGACACTGCTTACACCTCCGAGCTCAGTAGCCTCCTATCCTCCGTAAATGGTTCCCCAACTCCCTGAGTGGTTGCAAGGGTCGAGCAGGTCACATGTCCACAAGGGACACAGAGCACCAGTGCAGGACCCAAGAAACCCTAGCTGACAGCACGACAGAGAGGAGATCTGCATTCAAAAGAGCCCCATGGGGCTAGTGGTTGATCAGCCAGGTGGGGAGCATGCTGCCTGGGGTCCCAGCTTCTCCACTTTTTTTTTGGTATACTTTTTTTTAAACATATATACTTTCAAAACCTTGTGCTAATCAGAAAAGGGGCGGGAGAGCAAAGAAATCTTCCATCTCCTTAGAATGTGTGAGGAAGACATGTAGTGTAACCTATCAGGAAAATAACAGGTAACTTATTGGTAATAGATTCAAAACAGCATTAGACAATAGTAAAAACACAAAGACATACAGGGGGAACCAAGAGCGATCCTGACAACCACAGGAGGTCATATGCACAGAGCAGGGGTGGACCCCAGAGTGGAGCAGGAGGACAGGAAGAGGCTTGTATCTCAAACCTGGAGACTCCCGGATCCCCACCAAGGACTATCAGTACGGGCACCAAGGACTGCATCCCAACTGCCAAAGAGACCACGGGGAACTGGAATGCCTTCGGAGCCCCAGAACTCAGAGAGCATTCCACACCCCCCCCCCCCACCTTTGGATCTACTACACGGGATGAAAGAAGCCCAAGTTCTTCCTCGTAGGATCCAAGGTCATCGGAACAACAGCCAGGAACCCAGTGCAGTCCTCGGAATCAAAAGAACAGTAAACTTCCTTCAGGACTAGGGAGATAAGCTTTCTCTGGTCCTTACTTAGTTCCAACTTTGGGTCTCCACCCTCCCTGCAATGACCATCAGGGTCGCTCCAGAGCCCCCCCACCCCACTCCAAACACACACGCACACACATTAGAATAGAGAGGCAGAGAACAACAAGGAAAGCTTGGTCAGCATGGACTCACACATACCTTCCTAGGTAGGACACAGAGTAAGTACTCCTCACCAAGGGATTGAACATTTCTCTGCACGCCCCTCCTATAACTGTTATGCACCTCAATTGTTGAAATGTCAATGGAGTAGTCACAGGATGTGGTTAAGAACTTGCATTATTTTTAACATATTGTTTGCTCAATACTATGTCGATTAATACCATAACATTGTATATTGTTGCTGATGTTATGTGGGGGCTTTAAATTGATCGGGATTTTACTCTGTTGGCTCTACCTTCAGACCAGAGAAGGTCTCCCCAAGAAGCTGTTGAACTTATCTGGACAATAAGATGCTGGACTCTATGCTTGGAATATGCTTACAATGAAGGAATCTCAACTGAACTTGAACTGTGGTTATGCAACAAGGTGGAGGAATCCACCATGGGGGGAGGGTTCTGGGAGGGGTGGGGGGAATCCCAGTACCTATAAAACTGTGTTACATAATACAATGTTATTAATAATAGTAAAAAACAAAAAGAGATTTATTTTATTTTAATTACAAAGTCAGATATACAGAGAGGAGGAGAGATAGAGAGGAAGTGGAGCTGCCAGAATTAGAACCGACGACCATATGGGATCCCGGTGCATTCAAGGCAAGGGCCTTAGCCACTAGGCCACGCCGCCAGGCCCAGCTTCTCCACTTTGATTCCAGTTGTCTGTTCCTGCACACCCCAGGAGGTGATGGTTCACGCCCTGGTTCCCTGGCACCCCACCTGGGAGACACCCATCCAATTCCCAGCTCCCAGCTTTGGACTGGCCATTGCAGGTGTTTGGCGAGCCTATTGAACAAAAACTGAAAATGACCTAAGATCTAAGCACACCCTGGGCCCGGCACAATGCATCAGTGGCTAAATTCTTACCTTGTAAACACTGGGATTCCATTTGGATCATGTCACAGCTGCTCCACTTCCCATCCAGCTCCCTGCTTGTGGCCTGGGAAAGCAGTCAAGAATGGCCCAAAGCCTTGGGACCCTGCATCCACATAGGAGACCTGGAAGAAGCTTCGGCTCCTGGCTTGGGATCAGCTCAGCTCTGACCACTGTGAACACTTGGGGAGTGAACAGCAAACAAAGCATTCTTCTCTCTATCTCTCCTCCTCTCTGTAAATCTGACTTTCCAATCAAAATAAATAAATCTTAAAAAAAAAAAAGCCACCCAGCATGCCAACTTCACACTGTGACTATGAGCTAAATGGTGTTCCTTCCCTGAGCCTCAGTATTTATCTGTAAAATGGGACCATGATCACTCCTAGCAAAGGAGATGTGGAACGGGGCAGGGGGGATTCAATCACCTCGTACTGGCAGCTCTGCAGCCACAGCAGTAAGTGTCCAGCCAGTTGTAGGGGCTGGTGTTAGTGTCAGGCACTGCAACAGGGTGAGGGGGTGGCCCCTGTAGCCTGGGAACAAGAGAGGATGTGTGTGTTGGGGGGCCCTTCCAGGCCAGGATGCACAGGGAATAGGCCAACGGAGACCCCCCACCAGGAATGGTAGGCTCTCTGCAGAGGACACACAGCACACCTGCCAAGCAGAGCAGGGACCAGCAGGCAGAGAGCAACTTCCTCCCCGGTCTGCGTGGGAGAGCAGAGTCAGTTGGGGGTCATGGGCAGGGAGTGGGCCCTTTAAATCCTAAGCTCCACCTAGGGTCTCTGAGGAGGATAAAAGGGGGGTGCAGCTTCTCTCAGCTCCACCAAAGCCTGCTGCTCCTGCCCACCAGTAGTCCTGCCCAGACTCCCCCCAACACACACACACACACACACACATACCCCTCAAGACCACATCCACACATCATGCAGCCCCCACCTTTTGACATGTGGAAGGACTACTTCAACCTGAACCAGGTGCTGTGGGCGCTGATCAAGAGCCGGGAGCCGATGCTGGAAGCCCAGGAGATGACAGAGGAGCTAAGCCCCCCCGAGGCCCCACCAGAGCAAGACCAGCAGGGCCTAGCAGGGCTGGGGGCCGGCGGGGGCCCCGGGGGTGCCCTGTGCAACTTCTGCAAGCACAACGGGGAGTCGCGTCACGTGTATTCTTCGCACCAGCTGAAGACGCCTGAGGGTATCGTGTTGTGTCCCATCCTGAGGCATTATGTGTGTCCCCTGTGCGGGGCCACGGGTGGCCAGGCCCACACGCTTAAATACTGCCCGCTCAGTGGTGGCCAACAGTCTCTGTACCGCCGCAGTGGACGCAACTCGGCTGGTCGCAAGGTGAAGCGCTGAGGGTTGGTGGGTGCCCAGCAGCATACCCAAAAACCTGCTGGCTCACTCTCCCCCACCTCCACCAAGTCCTGGATCCCTCCTCTACACCCACCCCCCGCTGGATCCCCCAAGGGGGTGGGGGAAGCTGCTGGTCAGCCTCTCTGCTCCACCCAAGGAGATTTGCCCCCAGAGTTCCTGGCACAGGGAAACCCTGCCCATGGGGACCACACAGCCTCATGTTCCCCTCGCCTTCTCCTTCGGGGACCTGCTGCCAGCGACTTCTCGGCCTCAGAACACTCTTCCCTGGGTCCTGCTGAGCCCAGCTGGGACCTGGACACAGTGAACAATTATGCTGCCCGAGAACTTGAGGCTCCACCTTCTGCAGCCACCTGCAGACCCATGCTTTTGCTACGAACCATGGTACCCAGGATGTCCAGGCCACCAGGACTGAGCCACGGCAGAAAGAGGGGGTACACGCTGCCCTCCCAGGCTCATACTGGGCGCTCAATCCTCCATAGTCCATGCTCTCTGACTCTGCCCAGCTCTCCAGTGGTCCTCATCTTCAGCGACAGGTGCGTCCCGTCACCTCCACCCACCCCTCTGGTCACCGTGTGCTCAGCTGTTTTCTTGTCCTTGGAATTCCCACCAGCAAGAGGTTCGAGTACCCGTATGGGAATGGCGACTGCCTAGATTTTACGTTTAGAGGACTGAGAAGAAACCCTGGGAGACTGTGTGGGTTTGGGTCCATGCTGGGGGACCTGAGTGCCTGGCTGTGGTGAATAAACAGTTTCTGCTTGTCTTTAACCTCGCTGTGTCCGCCTCCGTGTCCATGCCTCCTGGCCAGTGGACAGAAACAAAGAGCCGCTGTGGCCCCCCGGCTGTTCCTGGGCCAGGGACAGGGTGGGGTTTTGGGGTCCTCCATGCACTATGTCCTGGTTCCGCCCCTGACCTGGCTCCCTGAGGCAGAGACCCATGGGAGGCCACAAGTCTTCCAAGACCAATGTCCTGGGAATTTGTTCAGCCTCAGGCTCCCAGACCCCAAGGCACCGACACTGAAAACTGTAAGTTCTGCTCCCCCACAGAATACATGCATGAAAAATCCCTGGAACTTTACTTCATTGTTCCACAAATATTTATTATCAAGATATTTTAAATTTTTGTGTGTATTTGAAAAGAAAATTTACAAGAGACAGAAAGATCTTCAACTGCTGGTTCACTCCCCAAAAGACGACTCTGGCAAGAGCTAAGCCAATTCAATCCAGGAGCCAGGAGCCTCTTCTAGGTCTCCAGGCAGGCGCAGGGCTCCAAGCACTCGGGCCATCCTTGACTGCTTTCCCAAGCCACAAGCAAGGAGCTGGACAGGAAGTAGAGCAGCCAGGACTTGAACTGGCACCCATAGGGGACCCCAGCGTGTGCAAAGTGAGGAGTTAGCCACTAGACCATTGTGCCAGGCCCAGAACGTTGCTTTTTAAAAAAAAACAATGAATTATCAACTTATCACTTCCCGGCCTTTTGGCTGAGATCAAGTGAATTATCAACTTATTCTGTGAAAGGCAGAGACACAGAGACACAAAGAGAGACAGAGATCTCCCATCTGCTGGTTCACTGCCCAGATGCCAGCAAGGACTGCATGAAGCCAAAACCAAGAGCCCAGAACTCCGTCCAGGTCTCCAGGTGGGTGGCGGGGCGCCCTCAGCTGCTGCTACGTCCCAGGGTGTGCATGCGCAGGGAGCCTGCGCAGGAGTACAGCCACTCACCTATAAACATTTCTTGTGACATCAAGGACTCGGGGCAAGCAAAACCTACAGAGGTCCTTGTCCTTGGAGGTGAGGTTCTGGTGGGGGAGGGGATACCATTAACAACTCCACAATGCATCATCTGTACTACTGTGAGCACCACGCTGGGAAGCAAGGCAGGTGCAGGAGAGGGGGAGGAGACACCCTTTTACATTGTGGGGAGAGTAAAATTTAAAAAAAAAAAAAAAGCTCTTGAGGGTCTGGTGCAATAGCTAATGGATAAAGGCCTCACCTTGCATGTGCCGGGATCCCCATATAAACGCTGGTTCGTATCCCAGCTGCTCCACTCCCCTTTCAACTCCCTACTTGTGCCCTAGGAAAGCAGTCAAGGACAGCCCAAAGCCTCAAGACCCTGCACCGGCGTGGAAGACCCTGACGAGGCTTGAGGCTCCTGGCTTCTGATTGGCTCAGCTCCGGCCAGAGGAGTGAACCAGCAGATAGAAGATCTTTCTGTCTCTCCTCCTCTCTGTAAATCTGACTTTACAAGGGCCCGGCGGCATAGCCTAGGGGCTAAAGTCCTTGCTTTGAACACGCTGGGATCCCACACAAGCACCGGTTCTAATCCTGGCAGCTCCACTTCCCATCCAGCTCCCTGCTTGCGGCCTGGGAATGCAGTCGAGGATGGCCCAAGCCTTGCGACCCTGCACCCACGTGGGAGACGTGGCTCCTGGCTTCGGAGGAGGTTCCTGGCTCTTGGCTTTGGATTGGCACAGCACCAGCCGTTATGCTCACTTGGGGAGTGAATCATCGGATGGAAGATCTTCCTCTCTATCTCTCCAGCTCTCTGTATATCTGACTTTGTAATAAATAAATCTCTTTTTTTAAATCTGACTTTACAATAAAAAGAAATAAATCTTTAAAAAAAGAAAAAAAAACTTTGAAAAAACTGAGCACATCAGGGGATGGTGTTGTGCTTCAGCAAGTTAGGCTCCTGCTTGGTATGCTTGTGTCTCATCATCAGCACCAGTTCAAGCCCCGACTGCTCCTCTTAGAAAAAATGTATTCGTTTTTATTGGAAAGTCAAATTTACAGAGAGAAGGAGACAGATCTTTCATCTGCTGGTTCCCTCCCCAAAAAACCGCAACAGCCAGAGTTGAGCCTAGCTGATCTGAAGCCAGGAGCCAGAAGCCTCCTCCAGGTCTCCCTCACAAGTGCAGGGTCCCAAGGCTCTGGGCAGTCCTTGACTGCTTTCCCAGGCCACAAGCAGGGAGCTGGATGGGAAGTGGAGCAGTCGGGGGATGGGGAACTGGTGCCCCTCCCTATGTGATCCCAGCACAAGGAAAGCAAGGACTTTAGCCCCTAGGCTACTGCACTGGGTCCCCAGCTGTTCCACTTCGCATCCGGCTCCCTTCAGTGCAACTGGTAAAGCAGTGAAGGATGCTCAAAGTATTTGGGCCCATACATCCATGGGAGACAAAAAAAGAAGCCCTGGCTCCCAGCTTCCAATTCATCCAACTCAGGCTACTGCAGCTGTTGAGGGAGTGAGCCAGCAGATGAAAGCCTTCTCTGTCTTTCCTCTCTGTAACTCAGCCTTTCAAATAAAGGTTTAAAGCACATACAAAGGGGTCTGGCATGATAGCCTAGCAGCTGAAGTCCTCACTTTGCACACACCAGAATCCCATAGGGGTGCTAATTTGTATCCTGGCAGCCTCATGTCCCATCCAGCTCCCTGCTTGTGGCCTGGGAATGCAGTCAAGGACGGCCCAAAGCCTTGGGACTCTGTAATTGCAGGGGAGACTTGGAAGAAGCTCCTGACTCAGATCAGCTCGGCTCTGGCTATTGCAGCCACTTGGGGAGTGAATCAGCGGATGGAAGATCTTCCTCCTCTCTGTATATCTGACTTTGCATCATTGCAAAGTTGGATATATGGAGAGATGAGCAGAGACTGAATGCAGGGTCCCAAAGCTTTGGGCCGTCCTCCACTGCTTTCCCAGCTCATAAGCAGGGAGCTGGATGGGAAGCGAGGTTGCCAGGATTAGAACCGGCAACCATATGGGATCCTGGCCCGTGTGCCCACGCGTGTGTACACACACACACACACACACACACACACACACACACACACACACACACACACACACACAGTCATACATGTGCACTTCTGCTATGAGTCCTCTAGGGGTCGCTGTCTTGCCTACATTCAAAGCCTAACACCTGTCCAGTCCCAAAGGCCTTAGATCTGCCTCTCTACCCAGTCTCAGGGCTGCCCCTGCTGCCCCCACTCAGCTCTCAACTCCAGCCACCACAGCCTGCCACACTCCCAGCCTAAGCGCTTGCACCTGCTGTCCCCCTCCACGGCCTGCACTAGTCCTGGGTAGCCAGCTGGCTCCCTTTGCTCAGCAACCTCCTGCAGGCCTTGCTCCAGTGTGCCCTTCTCTGAGAGGCCTCCATGTGCTGGGCATCACACTGGCCAGGCTACAGCGCCCAGGTGTTGCCTCAGCGGCGTTTCCCCAGAGCCCGTCACTGGTTTCCTGCCATAAGAAGGATTATCCGAGATCGTCTGGGTGGGCCGGGCTCAGGCCGCTGACAGGCTTCAAGGAGTGGAGCTGAAGTCTCTTGTGTGAACACCCCAGGCTGAGCTGGACAAAGCTGCCCACGAGCCGGCTGCCCCCCAGGTCCTGCAGGGCATGGGCCCCATCTACAACTCCACACCCCCTGCTCCTGCTGCCGCCTCTCTGTGGAGGTGGGATCCCAGCTGCACATGGTCTACGTGGCTCGAAGCCCAAGAGTTCAATGTTTTGTTCCTTCTGTATCCAGGTGCTGAGGGCGGCTTTTGTAACTTAACAAGCCTCTTGAGTCTTTTCTGATCCGGATTCCCGCCTCCTGCTAAGAACATACTGTGCTAACAACCAACTCTCCAAATTTCACTTCCTTGCATTTTTTTCACTGCAGTCCACAAGGAGTATGTGTGTGGATGATACACATACATGCACACACATACACACACATATGTACAAGGCATGCACACTTACAGGTGCACACCGGCACACACATGGAACTAGAAGGGATCACACAAGAAGAGTGAAGACAACACACCGCGCTCCAACACCTGACACAGGCGACCTATGTGAGGTAAGGAAGCAAAGAGGTGGCGCTGGGAGTTCATCCCAGTTTGACAGAGAGGAAGATTAAGAGGTTGTTTTGTGTCGTCTGTCCGAAGTCACACGATAAGCCAGGGGGAAGCGTCTGCACTCCGGCTGGCTCCTGAGCTGATCGATGGCCACTGTCCTATGAGGGGACTTAGTCACCTCTGGAAACTTGGAGCTAACACACAGTGCTTGGGGTGTCCTTACCTGACCACAGAAACCCATTCAGATACTTTTCAGTTCTGTTCTGTTTCATCGGCGTGGCACTGGCTGCAAGCCACAGGGCATTTTCCTGCACCCACTGTTGCTTCAAGAGGAACCGGTCAAGCTGCCACCTGCAATGCCTGCATCCCATACGGGTGCTGATTCAAGTCCTGGCTACTCCACTTCCCCATCCAGCTCCCTGCTAACGTGCCTGAGAAAGCAGAGGGTAGTTTAGGTGCTCAGGCCCCTGCACCCACATGGGAGACCAGAAAAAGCTCCTGGCACCTGTTTTTGGCCTAATCCAATACAGCTGCTGAAGCCACTTGGGGACTGAGCAAGTGGAGGGAAGCTTTATTTTTTCTCGCTCTGCTTTTCAATAGCCCTTTAAAAAAAAAAAAAGGAGGGGGTTGGACCTGACACAATAGCCTTGTGGTTAAAGTCCTCACTTTGAAGGTGCTAAGATCCCATATGGGTGCTAATTTGTATCCTGGCAGCTCCACTTCCCATCCAGCTCCCTGCCTGTGGCCTGGGAATGAAGTCAAGGACGGCCCAAAGCCTTGCGACCCTGTACCCATGTGGGAGACCCGGAAGAGGCTCCTGGCTTTGGTCTGGCTCAACTTCAGCCGTTGTGGTCACTTGGGGAGTGAACCATCGGATGAAAGATCTTCCTCTCTGTTTATTTGCCTTTCCAATAAAAATAAACAAATTAAAAAATATTTAAAGGAGAGGGTGCTGGCGTGCTAACATAGGGGCTAAATCCTCGCCTTACATGCACCAGGATCCCAGGTGGGCACTGGTTCATGTCTGAGCTGCTCCACTTCCCATCCAGTAGCCTGGGAAAGCAGTGGAAGATGGCCCAAAGCCTTGGGACCCTGCACCCACACGGGAGATAACAAAAGAAGCTCCTGACTTCAGATCAGCTCAGTTCTGGCTGTTTGTGAACCTTGGGGAGCGAATCACCAGGCAAAAGGCCTTTGTAGCTTTTCTCTATAAACCTGCATTTCCAACAACAACAACAACAACAACAACAACAACAACAACAACGGCAACAACAAAGAATCTTTAAAACAAAAAGACCTACATTGGGAAAAGATGCATAGAGAACCTTTCCTCCGAGGCTCCCCTCCCAGGGCCCCTGCCCTCTGACCCCCTGCCTTGGCCCACACCTGGCTCCCCACAGCTGGGGAGCCTCCCCAGCCTTCTCCCAGGCACAGAGCACATTGGGTCCTGGCACTGACCTCAACCCACATGCCCCCTGGGGCCAACCCCTCCCTGGCTGCCTCCTGCAGATCTCCAGCTCCCACCACACAGGGCCACAAGTGGAGTGCTTCCCTGTGAAAGAAAAACAGGTCTCCCTCGGTCCTACAGCTCGGAGCTGGAAGGTCTGGGCTGGGCCTCAGCTGCCTCAGCAGCCAAAGCTGGATCCCTCTTGGCCTTTCCCAGAGGTGTTGGCTCCCAGCTGCCATCTCACGGGGCTGTCACTCCTCCACGTATAGGGACACTATGCACCCCCATCTTCACCAGTCCCATCTCCATGGACCGGATTTCCTAACAGGGTCCCACGGAGGTGTGCTGGATGAGGGACTTGAATCTTCAGAGTTTGTTTTCTGGGGTGGGGTGGGGGGTCCACTGAGCAACAGGCACCGCTCCTTCTCAATTGACGCTGTATCGTCTGACCCCACCCCCAGCCTACTCTCTCCCCAGGTTTCCATCTGCAGCCCCCACACATTCCTGCCTCCATACATTTGGCCCTGGCAAACGCCTCCCTCCTTCCCGTCCCCTTCCCCACCAGCCACTCAACGGTGAAATTACTGGCGGGCACCACCATCTTCCTAATCTCATTTTCCATCATCACAGCTACCTCTCCCACCTAGACATTATTTGCAGTCTGTCTGGCCCCCTAAAAAGTGTGTGCCTTGTGGGCACTTTTTTTTTTTTTTTTTTTTGACGAATGGAGCACCACGCATGAAATAACCTTGAGGACTCCTGCAGGATGCTAAACAGGAAATAGCCCAACCGGACCCAACTGCCATTCGGTCCATCCAACCCGCGTTCCAGCTTCCTGTCTCCGTCTCCACGCATTCGCTGAAAGCCCTGCCTGCACCAGGTCCGCCCTCCCCACCTCCCCCTACAGCCCCTGCTCCCTCCAGAAACTCCCATCTCCGTCCCCTCCCTGAGCCATGACGTCAAGGTGAGGACAGGGGGGTCCCCGGACATGATTGGCAGGTGGATAGGTTGCTATAGTTACTGCATCCGCCCAGGGTGGGATATCCCCAGGGTGCCCCAGGCAGCTTCCTCAGGTCTCCCCAAATTCCTCCCCCGCCCCCGCACGCGGTTGTCATGGAGACGAAGCGCCTCCTTTTCTCCTTTATCCAAAAGGAGATCTGAAAGTACTGGAAGAGTGTCCAAAAGGCAGGAATGCCGCTTGCTTCGCCCTAATGTTCCCCTTCAGCATCCATCTCTCCTTCCTCCTCTGCGCAGACCCCGACTCTCGGGTACCACAGCAGGTGGCGAGCGCATGCGCACGGCCGAGCACGGTGGTGCCGGGCAGCGGCAGCGCTAAACTTGCGGCTGCGCAGTTATAGCCTGCTGGGGGTGGGGGAGCCCCGGGAGGGCCCCTGTGCGCTTGCGCCGTGTTGGGCAAGGTGGGAAAGCAACTCCGGGCAGGGAGGGCGTCGGGGCCCACAGGCTGCGGGCGCGCGTGCGCCTTGGCTCTCGGGGCGGCCGGGGGCGGGGCCCCGAGAGGGGAGGGAGAGGGAGGCGGGGGCTGGGGGGCTGGGGGGAAGAGGCCGCAGAAGCGAGCCCCGACCCACGGGCTAGCGGGGGCTGCGGCGGCGCCGGTGAGTGACCCCGCGCGGGCCCGACTCGGTCCCCACCCTCCACGATCCCTCCTCCTCCTGCAGTCACCCGTACCGCCTCCATCGTCCCCTTCAGATCCTGGACCACCTCCCCAAACCCGTTATGCCCACAGAGCTCCCCTCAAAATCTCCGCACCCTCTCCTAGAGCCCCCCACACTCCCCAAGCCCTTGGGGTTGGACCGGGCCGGGCCCGCTGCGGACCCCCATGGCACTCTGCACGACTCGTGGTCATGCCCTCGCGGGGCCGTGCCCAGGTGCTAGCGGCGCCCCCAGAGCGCCCGGCTGCTCCAGATCCTCGCTTTGCTGCATCGCCCCTTGGGCGCCCCCTTAACCCCGAGACTTCCTCCACCCCCACCCCCCGTTCCCCAGTGTCCCCCGTTCTCCTCTAACTCCTGGAGCCGCCGCGTCTCCTTCCACTTTCCCTCCATCCCTCCAGACCCTCCCCCCCAATTTCCATCAACTCCTCGGTGGGGCACCGCAGCGCGCCAAGCGCGAAGTGAGCGCTCAGCCCGGGCCAGCTGATATCTAGGTGCCTTTGGCAGCCCCCAACCTTCACCCCTGCCGCGGTACCCTAGTGGGAGCCCACGTCCACGCGGGGCGGCCTAGGCGGGGGACACCGAGCGCCCCCACCCCAGGCCAGCACCGTGCGCCCCTTTGCCCGCAGCGCCGGCGCCCCCCCTTCGTCCCATGCGCCAGGCGGCCGGTCGGTCGCGTCGGGGGGCGTCATGGCCTCGGCGGCGGCGGTGGCGGCAACGACCGGCGAAGCGGAAGAGACCACCCGGCTGCGCAAGCCGCGCTTCTCCTTCGAGGAGAACCAGATCCTGATCCGGGAGGTGCGCGCTCACTACCCGCAGCTGTACGGCGCGCAGAGCCGTCGGGTGAGTGTGGCCGAGCGGCGTCGCGTGTGGGACGGCATCGCCGCCAAGATCAACGGCATCAGCAGCTGGAAGCGCACCGGCCAGGAGGTGCAAAAGCGCTGGAACGACTTCAAGCGGCGCACCAAGGAGAAGCTGGCCCGCGTGCCGCACTCCACGCAAGGCACCGGGCCCGCCGCCGAGGACGCCTTCTCCGCGGAGGAAGAGACCATTTTTGCCATTCTGGGACCCGGCGTCACGGGGCCAGGAATTGAGGAGGAGCCCGCGGCGGCGTCAGCGTTGGCGGCGGCGGCGGCGACTGCGTCCCCGCAGCCGACCGCACCCGGCGCCGGCGCCGTCGCTTCTCGCTATGCGCTGTCGGACAGCCGCAGGGAGGAGCGGCGAGCAGGTGAGTCGCTGCGCCTTTGGACCCCGGAATTTGCGGGCTCGCGGGGTCCAAAGCCCTGCGGGTTGGGTTCCCATTTTGCATCTGCGAAGTAGCCCCCACCTCCTTCAGGGGCGTGGAACTCTGCGCGGGGGGCGGGGGGGGTCGTGCGTGGTTCTGGAGGAAGGCAGCCTGAGCCCGCAACTTTGCTACCCGGGTATGGTCCGCACAATCTGTTTCCGGATCGGTCAGATGACCACAAGAACAGCCCCTACATTCCCCGGGGTGGCAGTGGAGATGCCCTGAGTTCACAGGGGCGAATGGTGGGTGCTCCCTGAGTATTCAGTTTCCAGGGCTTGATAGAATTACTGGTGCTGGTGGCACCTGCCAGGTTCACCATTTTGTAAATCAGACTTCTGGAGGTTTGGTAACTTTGTCAAGGTCACAGCTACTCAGCCTTGAGTGGGGTGGGGGTATTCCAGTAGGGCAGCATGTTAGGTGGTCCTGGGGTCAAGTCTGGTAGGAAGACTGGTATAACTGGAGTGGACAGGTCCGGGCTTGGCTGTCTGATACAGCCCAGGGAGGTCCCTGAGGGCTTCCTGGAGGGGGAGCCTGTGAAACACAGGAGAGGAAGCCCTAGGGCAGGTGGGGGTGGGGAGTGCAGCAGCAAGGGTGGTGGGTGGGCTAAAGCCAGACCCTACTGAACTGTCTTTGAGGCCTAGAGATGGGGTCTGAGTTTTATCTAAGTGTTATGGCGAGGTGCTGAGGAGGAAGGGAGACAGTGAAAGCACACAGATCACTCAAGGTCACACAGCCAGTAACAAGGTGAGGACCAGAACGCAGGTGTGTGTCTGGCTCCCGGGCCAGGCCGCTTAGCCACTGGGCTGGACGTTACAGGAGGGATGCCAGAGAGCGGTCAGTCATGGAGGATTGAGTCAAGGTCAGGACTTGGGGCACTGGAGAGGCACTGAGGGGCATATGAAACCATCAAGGTGGGCCTTTGCTGTCTGAACCGGCAGGTGCAAAGGCCCTGGGGGCATCCTCAGATAGAGCCCTCTGCAACTGACCCAGGATGCCAGAGGTTCAGAGGGCCCCTGCTCCAGCGGGAGGTTAAAGCATGGGTCCTGGAGTGGCCTGAGCTATCAGGACACATACTGGGGCCACAGCCAAGGACTGGACGTTTCTGGTGATACTAGTATAAAGTCAGAAAGGACATGGAGAACTTGCCGCATGCTGCCCTGAGCCCCAGAACCTGGGGTGCCTCTCCAGGGCAGGGAGAGAAGCTGTTTTGGCTTCCATTCAATCCCATGCTCACAGGCACCGTTTACAGATGTGGAAACTGGAGGCCCCAGCTCAACCTGCGACTGCCAGAAGGCCCGTGGATGTGACAACTGGGCCTATTTCTGTTCCTTTTTAATCCAGTCGGCTAGAAAAAAGAAACAAAAACAAAACTGTCTAGTGGCTGCAATGCCCATGCCCCTTATAAGGAAGACACCACCACCTCCGTGCCCTCTCCTGGCCTGGCACCCCCGCAAGGTGGTGGTCACACAGCCTGGGTTGTGGAGCCAGCCTGGGTTCCAGTGCATCCTCTGTGTTTCGGGTCTGTGATGTTCTCTTTGGGCCTCAAGTCACCTCATCTGTGGAATGGGCTGGTGAGGACAGTGCCCACCCCAGGAGATGGTTGCAAGGCCTCAGGGTGTTGACACCAGCTGAGTTTAAGGCCTGACTGGGCCAAGTATCCAGGACCTGTTTATTCTAGTTACTCTCAGGTCCACCACCTCCCACCCTACCAGCTGGATGCTGGTAGACAGGACCTGGGTGGATGCTTTTACATGGAAAAAAAAACATTTCCACCCACTGGTTCACTCTCCAAATATCCACAGTAGCAGGAAGGTAGGGAGGGAGGCCGGAAACTAGGAATTCCATCTAGGTTTCCCATGTGGATGAGCAAGGAAACCCAGCCCCTTGGGCCATTCCGGCCACCTCCCAGGCTGCAGGCTTTGAGAAAAGACGGGGTGCTCTAATGTGGCCCAAGCGAAATATGAGCTCACCCAGGCCAGTGGGCACTGGGGTGGGGGGTGAGGAGTGAGAAGAATCCCAGCGTGTGAAACAACAGGTGCATGGCACAGAGGGGCAGAAGGGAGGTCCCTAATCTCTCTGTGGCCCGGGAATACAGGTGTCTCCAGATCTTGCTGTGCCAGGTGCAGAGGGCTTCTAAGAAGATCCCCCAGCACTTGTAGCCAGCCCACCGCCCCCGCCCAGGAGCCAGGGATGAGACCCCAGAGGTGTGGGGGCAGGTGCTTCCACAATGTCCTGAGTGAGCTGGGGTCCCTGCCTGGCCCAGCACAGGACCTCCCAGGCCGTGTCTCCCTATAGCTGACCTAGACCCCCAGGCTTATGCTGGCCCCTGGGTAGAAAGCCAGGTGTGCTGTGGGACTTCTGACCCCAGGTGTGATGGCACTTGGGTTTGAAAGGGATGCTGCAGGAGTTGGGGTGGCTCAGATGGAAAAGGGGATGGCCACATCCCATCCTGGGGAGCTGGGAGCTCCAGTCCCAGCTAGTACATCCTGGGCAGCAGCAGGGGCTGAGGGCTCCATGCCTTGGAGCTCTGCCTGGTTGCAGCTACTAGCTAAGACAGACAGCATTCTGTGCATTGCACACCTCACTCCCCCCCCCCCCTTGTGTCTCTTCAGAAGCTCCAGCCCACGGCAAGGGTGGCTCCAGCAGTCCGCAGCCCTGGGCCCGGCCTCCATCCAGCCATGCCCAGGAAGGGGGCTGCCCACGGCCCAAGGAGCGTGAGTGCCCACCCTCTGCAGCCCCCCAGCCCGTCCAGCTGCCCCGGCTGGCCTTGTCTCCACCCCCCTCGGCCCCTCCTCCACTGCCACCCGCAGCACCTGCACAAGTGGCACTCTCGCCACCTCCGAGGCCTCCATCCATGTCCTCCAACCCAGAACCCTCACTGGACTTCCTGCGAGCTCAGCAGGAAACCGCCAGTGCCATCCGGGAGCTGGCGGACACCCTGCGGCAGGGACTGGCCAAACTGAGCGAGGCTCTCAGTGCCCTGCTGCCCCTCCTGCCGGGAACCCCAGGGGAGCCACGGGCCTCACCTCCACTGCCACCGCCTCCGCTGCCGTCCCCGCCGCCCCCACCCCCTCCTGGGCCTGTCCTGCCCCCGCCTGCCCCCAAGGTGGAGCTCAGCCCGGAGCCCGTGTCCGTGGTAGCTGCTGTAGTGGACGGAGCCGTCGTGGCGAACCGGGGGGTGATCATCGCCCCCAGGAGCGAGGAAGGGGCACCCCGGCCGCCCCAAGCAACCCTGCCTCCCCACGACTCGCCCCCACACAAGAGGCGAAAAGGTTTCCCCACGCGGAAGAGGCGGGGCCGATGGAAATCGCCTTAAGGTTCATTTTGCTGCTCTGCCTGCATCCCCCTTGGTCCCCAGCTTGGCGCGGGCGCGGGGCCGAGCGCCCCCAGCCCTTGTGCTAGTTAGTGCCTGATTCTCCTGGAGGTGGGGCGTGGGGTTCGCCGCCAGGCTGTCCTCTAGCCCCCCCTTTATACTGCTGTCTGCCTGGCTGCCTCCCCGCAACCCTGAAAAAGCCATCAACAATTTTCTGTTCATTTATTCCCCCCACACCCACCCCGCGCTGCCCTGCGCATGGGGGGTGGGCGAGGACTCCTGCGGGTCTGCACACAGCCCCTTCCCCAACATGTCCTGTTCGTGACTTGAAGAGACCTGACCCGTGAGGAGCTCGCCCCCCATCCATCCCAGCCTTTGGAAAGGGTGGACCTTGCTAGACAAACCTAAATGTGGGTGGCGACAGCGAGAGGTGGGGAGGAGGTGGACTCGCTGCCCTCACCTGCAGAGCTGCACCCCTCATCCCTCTCTCAGTAATGACGAGATATCAATAAACCTATTTTTTTGTACATTCGGTCAAGGTTCGGGGCCAAGCCGCAGCCCCTGGAAGCGGGAGGCGGGAGGAGGTAGTTTTCCTGCTTAAGTCCTGTGTTCACACGGAATTTTAAGCATTACCCATCCTTTAGCTGCAAACCTCACCTTGGCAGCAAGTCCTGGGATCCTGCCCTCCAACTACCATGGGGAAGGCCTCTTCCAACCTCCCTGAATATTCCTTGGCTCTTGGTTATAATAATGTCTGGAAATGAGCCTGTCTCCGTGGAAGGCAGGACTCTGAGCCTCATGTGAGTGTTGGGACACTAAAGGCGAGAGGGGCTGCTAACAAAGTAGATGGCCACCGATTCGGACTCAGCACAGATCCTGCTGCAGCCTCGTCTCTCTGGGCCCCAGGTTGCTCATTCTTAGCATGGCCCTATGGAGACAGCAATTGGGGCGGCCGTCCCCAGCTCCCAAGGAGTATAGTTCCATGGAAAGCATTTCTTGACACACCCGCCATGGCAGTGATTTAAAAATACAAAAAAAATGTAAATGCAACTTCCGCTCCCATTTCCAGATTGGGCCTCAGTCGCCCCAAATTTTTGCCCCCAAAGCGGAGACCTTATATCCATCCAGCTCACCTGCCGTCTTAATCCTGCCGGACACCCATAACATCTGCCAAAGAATGGCACAGGGCATCCCCCCCCCCATCACAGGCGACATTTAAATGGGGCTTTTCCCTCCCTCGAAGCCGACTAGCCATCACTGCCTACACCCCGAGAGAGAAAACAGGGACCCGGGCTTGGGGGGGCTTCCCTCAAGCTGGCTGGGCCTACCAGGAAGTAAGCCCGCAAGCTGAAGGGAAGGGGGAGATGTGGCGCTTGCCCTTCTCAGCAGCCCCCTCCTCTAAATCCCCGTCCCTCAAATCGGGGCGCCCGTGCTTCTGACCGTCCCTTAAGGGCCCCCCATTAAGTGACTGAGAGGTGATGGGGGGGCGGAAGACGGCGAGATTCAGGAAGGCCGCCCCCAGCCTCCCGGGCGACGGAAGTGCGTCACCGCCCGACCCGCGGGGCATTTTGGGAGTTGTAGTGCGCTGGGAGGAGGAGGCGGCGAGTGGCCCGCGGTGTTAACCCCTTGGAAGCCAGAGCGTCCGTGGAGCCACGCTTCCCTCCTTGGTCTGAAACTCGGGCAGCGGCGGTTCGGACGCGCTCAGACCTTCCCGTGCTTCGGCAGCGGCCTGGCCCAGCGGCAGCCTGCGGGGGGCGAGCCAGGTCCGGCTCCCCCATCCCTGCAGCTCGAGACCGTCCAATCAGGGCCTGGCCGCGCCGCCGCCCCGTCGCGCAGCCCGTCATTGGCCCGCTTGGGGAAGGGCGGGGAAACTGAGGCCCAGGGAGCGCCGTCCGGGTGCGCAAAAGCTGCCCCAGCAGAGCGCGCGGCGAGTGCCCGCGCTCGGGGTCTGAGTGTGCAGGCTCCTCTGATGGCAGCACGTCCTGCACAAGGCTAGCGCCTCGGGGTGGCCGTCACCTTGCCCGTGCGCGCGCGCACACAGCCCGTGCGGTCCAGCCCGGCACACGCACCCCGGTCCAGCCCGGACGATGCGGGCAGCGTCGCGCACCGAGTAGGCGACCAACCACCGCCGGCCCCTTTAAGAGCCGGCCCCGGCGGGACTACATTTCCCAGAAGGCTTTGCCGGCGCGTTATGTAACTTTCCCTGCGAAGCGGCCTCTGGGGCAGAAGGAGGCGGTGGCGGCGGCCGTTGCAGCGGCGGCGGCGGCGGCGGCGGGAGCCTGAGGCGGCGGGGCCCGTGCGGGGCGCCTCGGCTGGGCTCCGGGACCGGGCGGAGCCGCCGGCGTGCGTCTGCCTGCCTGTTGCAAAGGAAACGGGCGTGAGGAGAAGGAGGAAGGAAGGGGAAAGAAGAGAGAGAGAGAGAGGGGAAAAAAAAAAAAAGGCGCAGGCCCAGGGGGGCGGGGAAGGGGGGCCGGGCCTGAGATCCGGCGGGGAGGCCGGGACTGTGGAGCGGCGGGAAGAGGCGATCGCGGCGGCGGCTGGAGCGCGGGGTCCGGCGGAGGAGGAGCCGGAGGAGCCGGAGGAGCCCGCGGAGCAGCAGGCGGCGGCGGCGCGCGCGCGAGGGGGCCATGGCGTCCGTGCAGGCGTCCCGCCGCCAATGGTGCTACCTGTGCGACCTGCCCAAGATGCCGTGGGCCATGGTGTGGGACTTCAGCGAGGCCGTGTGCCGCGGCTGCGTCAACTTCGAGGGCGCCGACCGCATCGAGCTGCTCATTGACGCCGCGCGCCAGCTCAAGCGCAGCCACGTGCTCCCCGAGGGCCGCTCGCCGGGACCCCCGGCCCTCAAACACCCGACCACCAAGGACTTGGCCGCCGCTGCAGCCGCCGCCGCCGCCGCAGCCGCCGCCGCCGCCCAGGGACCCCAGCTGCCACCTCCCCCGCAGGCTCAGCCGCAGCCGTCGGGGGCCGGTGCGGGCACGGGGGGCGGTGCCGGCGGCGCTGGCGGAGCTGGAGGTGCAGGAGGCGCGGGAGGCGCGGCAGGCGGAGGTGGCGGCGGCGGCGGCGGCGGCGTCTCCTCCGGCCAGGACCGCTATGACAGGGCCACTTCCTCGGGCCGCCTCCCGCTGCCCTCGCCGGCCCTGGAGTACACCCTGGGGTCCCGCCTGGCCAACGGGCTGGGCCGCGAAGAGGCGGTGGTGGAAGGGGCGCGCAGGGCGCTGCTGAGCTCCATGCCCGGCTTGATGCCCCCCGGGCTGCTGGCCGCCGCCGTGTCCGGCTTAGGAGGTCGAGGCCTGACGCTGGCCCCGGGTTTGAGCCCTGCCCGTCCACTCTTCGGTTCCGATTTTGAGAAAGAGAAACAACAGAGGAACGCGGACTGTCTGGCCGAACTGAACGAGGCCATGCGGGGCCGAGCGGAGGAGTGGCACGGGCGCCCCAAAGCCGTGCGCGAGCAGCTGCTGGCGCTGTCCGCCTGCGCCCCGTTCAACGTGCGCTTCAAGAAGGATCACGGCCTGGTGGGGCGCGTCTTCGCCTTCGACGCCACGGCCCGCCCCCCGGGCTACGAGTTCGAGCTCAAGCTGTTCACCGAGTACCCGTGCGGTTCCGGCAACGTGTACGCGGGGGTCCTGGCCGTGGCGCGCCAGATGTTCCACGACGCCCTGCGGGAACCGGGCAAGGCGCTCGCCTCCTCCGGCTTCAAGTACCTGGAATACGAGCGACGGCACGGCTCGGGCGAGTGGCGCCAGCTGGGCGAGCTGCTCACCGACGGCGTGCGCAGTTTCCGCGAGCCGGCCCCGGCCGAGGCCTTGCCCCAGCAGTACCCGGAGCCCAGCACGCCCGCCGCCCTGTGCGGGCCACCCCCGCGAGCGCCATCCCGCAACCTGGCGCCCACGCCGCGCCGGCGCAAGGCGTCCCCCGAGCCCGAAGGCGGCGAGGCGGCCGGCAAGCTGACCACGGAGGAGCAGCAGCAGCGGCACTGGGTGGCCCCCGGGGGTCCCTACTCGGCCGAGACCCCCGGCGTGCCGTCTCCCATCGCCGCCCTCAAGAATGTGGCCGAAGCCCTGGGTCACTCGCCCAAGGACCCCAGCGGGGGCCCCGTGCGGGCCGGAGGGGCCAGCCCCGCAGCCTCCTCCACCGCGCAGCCCCCCGGCCAGCACCGCCTGGTGGCCCGCAACGGGGAGGCCGAGGTCAGCCCGACGGCCGGGGCCGAGGCGGTGGGCACGGGCGGCGGCGGGGGCGGCGGCACCACCCCGGGGGCGACCCCCGGCGCCCCGCTGTGCTGCACCCTGTGCCGGGAGCGCCTCGAAGACACCCACTTCGTCCAGTGCCCCTCGGTGCCCGGACACAAGTTCTGCTTCCCCTGCTCGCGGGAGTTCATCAAGGCCCAGGGCCCGGCGGGCGAGGTGTACTGCCCGAGCGGGGACAAGTGCCCGCTGGTGGGCTCGTCCGTGCCCTGGGCCTTCATGCAGGGCGAGATCGCCACCATCCTCGCCGGAGACATCAAGGTGAAGAAGGAACGGGACCCCTAGGCCGCTGCCGTCCCTGCGCCCCCCGCCCCGCCGCCCGCTGCGGATAAATTATTCCCTCCCCCACCCAGCCCGGTGCCACCCCACGTGTTGTACATACCCCTCCCCTGGTCCACGCGGGTCCCCCGGGGTAGATGCATTGTGGGTGGGGGTAGAAGGCTTGTGGCTCCTGTCCGAGGGGCGCTGGGAGGGTCCCCGGCCCCCTCCCCATCCCCGCCCCTCCTTGGCTTGGCTTGGCTTGTAGTTGGGAAAGAGACGTCCCGAGAACTCTGCTCTTTATAAACGAAGCAAAAGGCATTTTCTCCCCTCCCTCCCTCCCCTTACCTTTTTTTCCTCATTCAATAAAACGAAAGATGGTTTTGTTTTTTTTTTTTTTTCCTCCTTCTTGGTCCCTTGGTCGTGTGAGCGCTGCGCCCCCTGTGGGACCGGGGCGGTCCTGCAGGCGCGGGGCGGTGGCTGTGCGGAGCGCGGCCTCCAGGTGGCGCTCGTGGCCCTGGCTGGACGGGTCGCCCGGTCCCGCCACCAGCCCGTCGTGCAGATGGCAGAACCGAGGGCCGGCGTTGGCGTAGGAGCCACAGCCACGCTCAGCGGCAGGCTGCCCTTCGCGAGCAGGTCACTGTGTCCACCTGCATTCGGGAGAGGGGACTCTGCGCCCCATGGGGTCGGGGAGTTAGGTCGTGAGAGGCTCCCTAGAAGGGACGGGTGGTCGGTGCTCGCTGGCGGAGAAGGGCTGTCCTGGGAAAGGGGACATTTGCCTCTAACGCGGTAACGCGGCAGGGTACCTAGAAGCGAGCTGGCTGGGCTCCTGGCTTTAATGTCGAAGGACAAGCCTCCCCCCCATCCCCCTCGGCAGCTGCCCTGACACCAGGTAGAAGGCTCTGCACAGCCACCCCGCCCCCCGCGGCCGCCTTGATGTGCTCGGCCTTGTCCCGCACCTGTCCCCATGATTGATCATTAACCAGGACTTCCTGCTTGCGGGCGTCACGGGGCGGGACTTGGGTGATGCAGCAACGCAAGGGTTAAGGGGAGGGGGCAGACCCAGGAGCCCAGCACCCCCACTTCCCACCTTCCCTCTACCACCATCAGATCCCTCTAGGTGGAGTTCCGGGAAGGGCAAGATGCCAGCGGCCAAGGGCAGCGCGTGGACAGACAGATGGAAAGCGATAGCCCAGGGGCCCCCAGAGTCCAGGTGTCTGATGACTGAAACCTGGGTACCAGCCCTTGTCCTCAGTTCAGGGAAGGGGTTTGTCCCACGCACCTGCAGCCCATGCGTCCTCACCCCTCATGTTAGGGCCCCTGGGGCTTCTCCGTGTTTGGGGGGGTTCGGTTCTCACACTGGCAGGGAAGGTCCCATCGGCTCCCAGGTGTGCTGCTACCCCCTGGCACTGCCAGCCTGGGCTCTAGGCAGGGCTGGGAAAATCACCCCTGATTAAATACAGCAGGCGATAAACCTAGCCCAAGGGTGATGCAGGGTAGCGCTCTGGGCCTGGGTGTCCCTTCTCCGCCAAGCCTGCCCCAGTCTCGGCTCTGCAGGCAGAAACGCCAGGTCTCCCCCCACCCCCTGCAAAACCTCAGGGCCCCAGTCCTCTGGACACCTGCTCCCTCCACCCCAGTGGGGGCTCCAGCCGTGGAGAACATCTGGTCCTTTAAGAACAGCTGGTAGGTGGGTGGGGGGCAGGAGAGTCAACCCCAGCCTGGCTGGTGTGTGTTTTAGATAGAGGTTGGGTTAACCATTAACACAGCAGAAGGCCTGAGCGCTGTGGGTGTGGGGGGCTGGACTGGTGCCCCTTCCCCCAGTGCCAGGTGGGGCCGGGGCCGAGGAGGGCGTCCCACATTCATCTGGGAATCTCCTCGCACAGAGATGTAGTGGGCTGAGCCCACGGGGAAGGAGGCACAGGCCAAAGGGGGAGAACCTGGGAGATGAGGAGTGGAGGGGGGGCAGTTCCAAAAACAAGGCTGAGTGAGAGGTGCCAGTGTTCTCCGACAGAAGGCCGGAAGCAGACAGCTGGGTCGGCACAGGGCATGGCGCACGCCTGCTGGTCCCCCACCTCCTCCGTGAAGCCCTCCCTGACTCAGGCTGCATTAAGTGCCCTTCAGGATCTGCACTCCCCCTCCACCCCACCCACCCCCCGCACCATCGCTGCCTGGCAGCTGGTTGGACTGTGAGCCCCAGGAGGACAGGCCTGAGGCAGCCTGGTCACCTGTGTGTGTGTCTCCCCAGCATCAGCCAGCGCAGGACGAGACCGCCCGCGGGCTCCTGGCCCTCTGCTTCGGTGTCCGCAGGGGGATGGGCTCAGTGCACAGCAGGAGGTGACACCTGCTGTCCCGGGTGGGGGGGGCCACACACAGACCCCAACACCTGACAGCCACTGGGTGGGAGAAGGAGGCTGACCATCCCAGAGACGGAGAGCAGATGGGGAGCTAGACAGCACCTCTGTGCAAACTGTATGCGCGAAGGCCGTGGGGTGTGAGTGGGGCCACTAGCAAGATATGCCATCCTAGGGAGACGGGAGTACAGGATGGGTGCCAGGTTCTGAGAAAGAATAGGAGCAGGTGGGAACTTGTCAAGGGCTGGGCGAAGCAGGCATGGCAAGAGAACCCACCCAGGACAGATGTCAGGGATATGAGGCGCCCCTGGGGATGGCCTGGGGCCTGGTGCAGGCTGGCTGAGCACCCCCTTCCCCACACACTCCCTCCACCCAGCCCATGGGACACTCCGAGACAGCTCAGGCAAACAGACAGACAGCCGGCCAGCCAAACTGTCTCGTTCCTTCCAGAACCTTCCCCACCCAGAAAGCTTCCCAGGAGCCGGAAAAAAAAGATCTGCCCGCCCCCCTACCCCTGGGCGGCCTCGCCCGTGGCGGGTGCCCACTCACACCTCAGGCAGAGGAAGCTGGCAGGCCCCACAGGAACTTTTGGAGCGGGGTGGGGGCAGGCAGGCAGCAGGGACGGAGGGAGAGGAGTGGCGAGCAGGCGGGCAGCGGGCAGCCGCTGTACAATGGTCCTAGTGTCTGACCTGGGCCCTGGGCACAGATATAAATAATATGTGCGTGTCCCCTTTATATATCCAGCAGCGGGCTCAGGGTCGGGGGGGTCACAGGAGTCTGCTGGCGTCTGAACAAGTGCGTGCAGTCAGCCCCTAGGGGTGTGGGGCTGGGGGCTGAGTCACCCAGCCAGGGACAGGGACAAGGACCTGTCCACACAGAGAGGAACCATAGAATAGCAGTCTAGCAGGAGACATCAGGGAAGACCACGGACGGGCGGGGGGAAGCTGACTGACCACAGATCCCAGACCATCAGAGCTGGGGACTGAGGGTGGGGGCAGGTCAGGGAGCAGAGGTGAGGGAGGTGGCCCCGGGTTCCGGCTCAGTGTTTACCTGGGGCAAGGCATTGCAAACAGCCGCCCAGCCTGGGCCACGGTGGGCGGGTGGCCGGGTAGGCGAGGGTGGCGACGATCGGCTGGGTCCCAGCCCTTGGCACCAGTGGGCCCCACCACGCCCACCTGTGGCCTGGGAGGTGAGTAACACACGCGGGCTGACACCTGGGGGATGTGACACACGGTGTGAGGAGGCAGACACGGTGACACACAGTGACAGATATAGGCAAGCCTAGAGGGACGGAGACATAAACAGCAATGGCGGCACACGCAGGGACAGGCCGACCTGTTGTTCCATGTGGCACACAGCAGGTGGTGACGGACTGAGAACCTGGCCACAGACCCCTGAAAGCCAGGGACACACAGGCAGATACACGCACAGATACACACAAAGGGGGCCTGGCATGGTAGCCAAATGGCTAAACTTCTTGCCTTGTGTGCGTCAGGATCCCCATAGGGGCATCGGTTTGTATCCCGGCTGCTCCACTTCCCTTCCAGCTCCCTGCTTCCGGGAATGAACAAGTGGATGGAAGATCTGTCTTTCCTCTGTAAATCTGACTTTCCAATAAAAAGAAAAAAAAAAATAGACACACACCTACAGACACCCACAGTTGGTGAGGGCCAGTCTGGGCCAGTCTGGGCCAAGTCTGTGGGACTGTCAATCCTTCACATCCGCTCTCTGCCTCAGTCTACCAACCACAGAGGCATGGATGGAGCCAGTTAGGTCAGCAGCTCACCTGAGGCAGGTCGGTGGTAGGGCCTGGTAGCTTCCATTGGCCACCACCATCAGCAGCAGCAGCTTACAGTCCCCTGCCCACTGCTGGACGCCTGCCACCCACACACAGATCCGTCTCCCGGATGCCCCCTTCTCTCCATCCCTCCAGCCCCGACGGCTGCCATGCTCCAGTCTGTCTGTGCATCTCCTGTGGTACTTTTCCACGCTGGATGTTAGCAGCTGTCCCTGGAGTGTGTGTGTGTAGGGGGGTCACACCTGCCCACGCCAGCTAGCCACCAGACACCCTACCACGGAGAGCCAGACGGTGGGGCTCCACCCTCGCGAGGGACCCTAGGACAACACCCCGCCCCTCCTCCTCCGGCCACCTGAGGTCCCTCCAGGGGCGGCCTGGGGCCTGCGCCTGGGGACAGGAAGCCCCGGGCTTGGCCGCACAGCGCCCTGAAAGCCTCTTTGAGCCGGCCTCCGCCCGCCCCGCCGCCCGCCGGCTCCTCCCGCGGAATAATATTTGGGCTGTTGGCCTGGGGGGCGGGGGCCAGATCCGGAGGCCGCCGGGGAGAAGCCAGAAACCGCAGGGTTTCCTGCTTCGGGCCCGGGGCCGACTCCGGGAGAGACCCCCAGGCCGAGGGAGGGGGGCGGGGGCCCGGGAGACTGAAGGCCTTTCTCTCGCTCCAGTTGTTTTTTCCAGAATCTAGGAGGAATTCCCCCAGCCTGCCGGGGACACAGGCTGGGGTGAGGTGGGGGGGGACCGAAAGCCAGCGCCACAGGGGGCGGGGCGGGTACAGGGACAGACAGAAATTAGAGGGTTTGAGGCGGCAGGTACTGGGGGTGGCGGGAGCTCGGGGATCCGTGGAGGGGGCGGGAAGGACAGAGGGACGGATGCCACTGGGGCCATTGGGAAAGAGACACATGGCCCAGGAGCCAGCAGCCAGCAGCAGAGACCCAGGGACCCAGGCACACACAGCTGGATACCCTGCAAGGATTGAATGGCTCACTGAATGAATGAGAGCAGAGGCGCTAAGGCAAATACACAGCGAGGAAGACATACTCTCAGGCCAGCCCTGGCCACCAGCCCTGGCCCACTCCTTCCCCATGCTGGGTGTGAAGGGAAGCCAGGCCGAGGAGGTGCCCAGCCACACCCTTGGAGTGCTGGGAGACCCAGTCCACCCTCCCGCCATCCCCTGGCCACCCTTCCTCACATGCCGGGGCTCACGCCCAAAGCACAGGCAGAGACGTAAAGAATGGTTTCACATGAAAGGCAGAGCTTTCCACCAGTCCACTCCCGCCACAACTGGAGCTGGGCCAGCTGGGAACCAGAAGCCAGGAGCTCCATCTGGGTCTTGCACGTGGCTGGCGGGAGCCCCATCACCTGCTGACTCCTGGGGTGCACACCAGCAGGAAGCTGGGGTCAGGGGCAGAAGGACAGGACAGTTAACTGCAGGATGCTCAACCACCATGCCAACACACACACCCTTGCTTCTCGTTGGGTTGCTATTCTACGCTTTATTTATTTTTATTGGAAAGGCAGATTTACAGAGAGAAGGGGAGACAGGAAGATCTTCCATCTGCTGGTTCACTCCCCAAATGGCTGTCACAGCCAGAGTTGAGCTGATCCGAAGCCAGGAGCTAGTAGCTTCTTCTGGGTCTCTCCTGCAGATAGAGTCCCAAGGCTTTGGGCCGTCCTCCACTGCTTTCCCAGGCCACAAGCAGGGAGCTGGATGGGAAGTGGAGCAGCTGGGACACAAACAGGCACCCTTATGGGATCCTGGCACGTGCGAGGGCAGGTTTTAGCTACTGAGCCATTGCACTGTGTTCCCCTTATTTTCTTTGAAATAAACATCTGCTGGTCCCCAGAAGCCCCACTCCCCCCCCAAAAAACAGAGGTTATCGCACACTTACACTTATGTGAGCACAGGTACATTACACACACATATACACTCACGTACACATGAAGTGGCCAATTCCAACTCAACACTTCCTCTCCCCCCTTTCTGCCCACATCTGTCCATTTCCCTCCTCCACAGCTCAACCCAAAAAACGTGCAGCTGCTCTCGGTTCCCCGAGTCCTACAGCTACAGAGAGGTGTGCGTGCCTGGCAAGCGGAGGTAAGGACCTTCGTCACCTCAGGGGCCACCCCCGCTGCCGCCACTGCCCCTGTGGGGGCTGCTATCTATGAACAAACTGTCCTTGGGGTCAGGGACAGCCGAGAGAGCCAAAGGTCAGGTCCATGCTGGGTCCAGCCCCTCCCCCCAGAGGCAGCCAGCCCTTGGGGCTGGAAGGGAAGGGGGCTGGACAGAGAGCAGAAATGCAGGCATGGGGCCAGCAGCAGTCCTGAGGCTGGGGGCCGGGGAAGAGACATAACGAGTTCAGAGAGGGGCAACAAAGGTGCTTTAATGGTCAAATACAGCCACAGCCAGGCAACAATCAGACTCCACCAGAACCAGCCGGCACTCCAGCCAGCCCCGTGTGGGTTTTCTGGAACCAGCATGCGGGACAGGATGGCGTCTTCTCTTTGCCATTCTACTGCCACATGACAGTGCCAACCTGGTGTCACTGGGCCACCCAAGCACTGCCCCCAACAAACGGCCAAACCAGAAGAGATGTGGCAGGATGGGGTGCCACGAAGTACAACGCCCTCCCATCCAAAAAAACAAAGAGCCACCACAGCCCTAACTGGGCTGGAGACTAAAGAAAATGTCCCGGATGTGGGATGTCCATCCCACCCATGAGGTCAGCTGCCACCCCAAGTGCCACCCTGACAAACAGACCTGTGACCTTAATCCATGTGGCCGATTTCAGGGAACCCACCCCTGCCCCCACACAGGTCCACCTGTGTGTCCATGGTGGCGATCGCTGCCACCACATCCCCCCACTCCCACCCCAGACCAACATGACGTCCACGGACACCAACTGGCAATGACCTTGGACCGAATCCCACCACCGCTTTCTGGTACCCACGCCCTGCTAGGAGGCGTTGAGCAGAGAGCGGGAGTAAAGGCCTTGGTAATAGACCCCGTGCTCCGCAGCTTCAGCCCCATAGCCCCCAAACCCCACGTCCAGCTTGGGAGGTGCCGACGTTTGTTCCGACATGAGGTTGTTGATGGAGAAGGGGTGGTTGAAGTTGTAAGGTGTGTCTAGCTTCAAATCCCCTGGGAGCTCCAGGCCGCCAAAGTAGGGCGTGGAGGGAGCTGGTGAGCCGCAGTCCAGAGCCCCCACGTCTTCACTGCCACCCGCGTGGGCCTCAGGCTCAGCGGGTGGAGGCTGGGGATGGGGTGGTGAGGCGATGGCTGGAGCAGCAGCAGCAGCCACAGGCCCAGTGGCTGCCGAGGCAGTGGAGCTAGGGCCGTTCCTGGCCGCGGTGGCGGAAGAGGCAGCACTGCCAGGGGTGCCTTTCTTGGCCTTCTCCTCCAGCTTGAAGCGCTTCTGGCGGCGCAGGTAGCAGCCATTCTCGAACATGTTGCCGGAGCTGGGGTGCAGGGCCCAGTAGGAGCCTTTGCCCGGCTTGTCTGGGGAACGCGCCACCTTGACGAAGCAGTCGTTGAAGGAGAGCGAGTGGCGGATGGAGTTTTGCCAGCGCTGCTGATTCTCCCGGTAATAAGGAAAGAGGTCCATGATCCACTGGTAGATCTCGCTCAGCGTCAGCATCTTGCCCGGCGCCTGCTGGATGGCCATGGTGATGAGCGAGATGTAGGAATAGGGTGGCTTGGCGTGTGCCAGGGGCCGCCGGTGGTACCCTTTGGGCAGCTCCTTCCCGTGCACCATTCCTGAGCCAGGGCTGCCCCCGTATGCCACAGAGCTGCCACCACCTCCTCCGCCGCCACTGCCACTGCCTGTGGCCAGGCCCGGGAAGGTGGGCCCCAGAGGTGCGGAGGGCGCTGCGGGTGCCAGGGGGCCTGAGGGCAGTGGTGAGGCTGGGAGTCCACCGGGTGGGTAGGGAGAACTCAGAGAGTTCAGGGTCATGTAGGAGTTGAGGGGGGCCATGGTGGGCACGGGGGTCACAGGAGAGTAAACCTGTGGGTACAGAAGAGAAACACGGGGAGCGGTCAGTGGGGCTCTTTGTGCGCCCCCTCTGTGACCCGCCCTCCTCTACCCCTCCCTTGGTCTGCTCTGCCTTCCCATCCCCTCTGCCATGGGGCACGGTTGACGATGCTCTGAGTGCCATCCCAGATGCCTTAAGGAGTCCCTGAAACACTTTCAGGGTGTCCATCATGTCACAGTTGTCTCCCAATTAGGCTAGGATAGCGTCAGCCCTTTTTTTTTTTTCCACTCTTTCTGAGTGTACGGTGAGTTGGTCAGAGACGCTGAGCCTTGCCCAGTCTTCTGCTGAGCCACATCGGAGCTGCAAAAAAACGTTCCCTGGCAGCAAGTGCCCCGAGTGCCAGCCCAGGGGGCCTGTGCCTCGGCCCTGGCCCTGCCTCCTGATTTCAGCGTCACCTGGCAGCAACAGATGAGGAGCAGGAGACTGGGTCCCTGCCACCCATGTGGTACGGGGGGTGGGGGGGCGTTACAGGAAGGCTAGATGAAGTCCCTGGCTCTTGGCCCCTGGTGCCGGCGGCCCTGGCCCTGTGACATCTTAGGAATGAAGCACTAGGTAGGTTCTTTCTCTGCCTTTCTAATAAAAGAACAATTCTTGAAAATGTAAATCTTCTTGGGGTTGACACGATAGCTCAACTAGCTAATCTTCTACCTCTAAGTGCTGGAAACCCTTAAGGGTACAGGTTTTTATCCCAGCTGCTCCACTTCCCATCCAGCTCTCTGCTTGTGGCCTGGGAAAGCAGTCAAGGGTGGACCAAAGCATTGGAACCCTGCACCTGCATGGGAGACTTGGCAGAAGCTCCTGGCTCCTGGCTTCGGATCGCATTGGCTCAGCCCTGGCCGTTGCTGCCACTTAGTGAGTGAATCAGCAGATGGAGGATCTTTCTGTCTCTCTTTGCAATTCTGATCTGCCTTTCCAATACAAATAAATACATCCTTAAAAATGTAAATCTTCTCATTAAAGTCTCTGGAATCTATTTTAATAAATTACCTATTTCCAGAAGTAAATTGCTCTTTTTAAATGAGTTGATACATGTTTGGGAGCTTCTGTTTTGACTTCAAATAAGGTGGAGGTGTAACTTCCATCCCCATGAAGTGGTCACAACAATGCTTCAGAACAGGACTTGCCAGACAAGCTCATGGTAACCAGAGTTCTGACCGTTATTAGAGCGGCCGGGCTGTGGCACGTGCGGTAAGCCATCAAATGGGACTCATCTGCCTCATGGGTGCCCGTTTGTGTCCCAGCTGCTCCACTGATCCAGTTCCCTGTTAACGCTCCTGGGAGAGTGGAAGAGGATGTCACCCATGTGGGGGATCCAGATGAAGCTGCTGGCTCCTGGCTATGCCCTGGTCCAGCTCTGGCCATTGTAGTCACCTGGGGACTGAATCAGGACATGGAAGCTCTCCTTCTCTGTCTCTCTATATTTCCATCTTTGAAATAAATCAATCCATTGGGAATCAATCCATTGGGAATAATTATTATTTCCAAAGAAATAAGAGTTATTATAAACTCGTCATAATCTTTATATGTGTAGCTCACCATCTAGCTTAAGTTATAAGATTACTGTTTACATATCAAAAGACACACTTTAAGTTAATATAAATAATTTCTCCATCTCTACGAAGCTAAGCTCTGTCAGCAGCAGTATTTTTCTTTTAAAGTTTATTATTTTTTTATTGGAAAGGCCATTTTATAGAAAGGAGGACAGAAAGGGAGATCTTCCATCTGCTGATTCACTCCCCAAGGAGCAGCAATGGCCAGAGCTGAGCTGATCAGAAGCCAGGAGCCAGGAGCCTCCTTTGGGTCTCCTACACGGGTGCAGGGTCCCAAGGACTTGGTCCATTCTCCACTGCTTTCCTAGGCCACAGGCAGGGAGTTGGATCGAAAATGGTGCAGCCGCCAGGACACAAACCAGCATCCATATGGGATACCAGCACTTCAAGATGAAGTATAACCCAGTTCAGCTATGGTGTCAGCCCCAGTATTTCTTTCTATACCAACAGAAACAGAGTGACATTCCATGAAATTCAGAAACTGCCCTCAAAATAATTCTCTGGGGAGAATTCTCAGGTCTGTCACTCCATCAGAGCCCTGACACTTCTTTAATCCTTGTCCCCGTGCCTTGAGCTGTCCATTTCACAGCTCGGTGAGCTTGAGGCCCAGGGAGGTCGTTGGGACTGTGAATCCAGGTAGACTGGCCGGCTCAGACTGCGCCGTGACGTGGAGCTGAGGACACACAGGGGAGTTGCCCGTCGGGGGTCGTGCGGCTGACAGTCCAGCAGGCGAGGTAAGCGAGGCCCGGAGGTCGCTGGCTGGACATAAATCCACCTGTCCTGCCCCTCTGGTCTTCTCACCTCTCCCTACTGCTCCACCTGCCCTGCCCTCCCAGGTCCAGGGCTCTGCTCTACCCTCTGGCTGGAGCCCCCATGGTGAGGCGGCTTCACAGCTGGAGAGGGTCTTGTCTCCTGTCTGCAAACACCTACAGGTGGGGGCCAAGGACAGGTGGCAGGTAGCCCAGGTCACTCTTTCCATTCTTGTCTAAATTTCTGGACAACCTTTGTCTCCCTCTCCCCCTCCTCCCCTTTCCCCCCTGCTGTCTCCCCCTCCATCTCTGTCCACTCCTCTCCTGTCCCCACCTCCCTCCCCTTCAGCCTGTCTGTCTCTCTCCACCTCTCTAGAAGTGTCTCCCATTGAACTTGGAACCACAGCTGCTCCCCTTGCCCCACGGGCTGTTTCTGCCCCATCCCCCAAATAAGAAAGAACTAAGTCAGACAGACAGGGACCCCAGCTCACCTGCCCTGGCTCTCAGCCCACCAGGAAGTCCTTCTGGATGTCTGACCTCGGACCCACACCCAGGCTTTCCCACGCCCCGGGGATGGGACGAACCCCTGATGTCCGGGTCTGAACCGGATCTCCCCCTCCAGGGTGGGGCTGGGAGGGGAGCAAAAGCCCAGGGGGGACCTGCACCCCCACCTGAGAGGCAGCAATTTCTCCTCTTTCATTTCCTTATTGTCCTGGGCAGATGGGTGTGCCTAGGAGCATGGAGAGATAGTTGAAGCCACAAGTTCAGTCTAAGTCCCAGACCTTCCTTGGGACCCCAGGGATGGTGGTGGCGAGCTTCAACTTTCCCAGCTCTATAATGGGACAGCAGCCAGACCAGGTGAGACCCTGACAGCAGCTGGGGGACTCTTGCCCCCACCCGAGTTTGCCTCGGGGTGTCCCTGCCACCCCAGCAGGAGGGTACGGTATGGAGGGGATAGTCTGGGGACCCTCTCGGTCCCCAGTGGCTGGCTTCACTACAAATATTTTTCTGCCATTTGCAGGAGAAGCCCTTAGGATTGCCTAAACCATCTCACCCCCTATGTGCCCCCTGCCAGAGCTGACTGTCCCTCAATATCAGACACAACTGCCACACACAGTCCCCTACCCCAGGCTCCATTCAGTCTGTGCTCCAATAGACCATGACTCCAGCCTAGTCTAGTTATTGGATATGCTCTCCTCTCAAAACAAACAAAAAAACTCCCATAGATTTAGACTTGGCTTACCCCAAAATCGTGTCCTAAACCCCCGTCCCACCCCCTAACCAGGCTTTGAGCTTTGCAAGGAGTCATTCCCGACCTAGGAGCTCCACCGCCAGCCCTCACCTCTGCCCGCCCCCTCCAGCGCACCCGGCCAGCTGCCACCTCTCCGTCCGCCACACGCACCTCACACCTCCCCAGCCAGACCCAGGACTGGCCTCTCCTGGGCACCTGGCCAAGCCCCACCAGCCTGGGGGACCCAGGAGTTGTACCTGACAGTTTCCAACCCGCTGAGACCATCTAATTGTGGCTCCTCAGAGGATAAGGCCTTTGTCCATCCCCTCCCCCCCCACTTAGACCCACAAACTTTCACCCCCACCTCCCCCAGCCCTACCTGGCACAAGCTCAAGCCTGCAGCCAGGGCTATGGTAGTTGAGGGGTTCGGATCCGCACCACCCACTACCCTCAGGAAGGTCTGGGCTGACAAGGGGCTGGTGGGGAGTTGAGTCCCGCTAGGCTACCAGGGCTGGGGTATTGAGAACTCCAAAACTGCCCCCGCCACTTGGAAGGGCTCATGGAGCAGGCACGGGGCACACGCAGAAGCCCAACAACCCGACCCCCAACTCTAAGTCACCTGCTCTTTCAGAAGCTTGGGCTCCAGGCACCCCAGGTCTTAACTCCGAACACCAGCCCCTACTCCTGACCCTTTCGTAGGCCAGCCCCATCCAAGAACCTTAATCTGGCTCCCGCCCTCCACAGTTCCCCCAGTTCAAGGCTTCCCTAAATGGTGCGCGCCCCTCTCCGTTTCTGAGTCCTCTCCCGCTTGGAACTTCACTTTTCTTCTTGCTTTGTTCATCTGTATTCGCACAGATCCCGAGAAGCAGGAGCGGGGGTCCCCATCACGAGGCTCTCCCCTTCCAGCTAGCCGTGCCCGTGCCTGGCCGCCAGCTCCAACCCCATGTTCGCCTGCCTCATCCCCGACACCTCCCCCATCCCCTGGTAGCCTGACCCTCACACCTGGTCTCCGCACCCCTAGTTACCCAGTTCCCTAAACCAGATACCCCGGCTGCTTTTTGGCGCACACCTTGCCGGTGAACCCCTCCCCCGATGGAAGCCCAGTGCCCCGTTACCTGCGCGCCCCCCACCCCCCCGCACTCCCACTTCCCGCCAAGGACACACACCTCACCAGCCTCTGGGTAGTAGCTCCACTCCGCCAGGTCATGGGCCTCCATCTTCACTGAGCCCAGCATCCCCCGGGCTTGCACCCCCACCTGCCCGCCCCCCACCCCACCCGCAGCTCCCACCCCTGGGGGGGTGGGGAACCGAGCGCTTCAGGTCTCTCGGCGGGCACAGCCCCAGTGTGCCCTGGCGCCCGCCGGTCCGACTGCCCGGGGTCTCTGCAGTCCAGGGCTCCGAGGGAGGTGGCCACGCTTTATAGCCGGGACACCCCCCCCACCCCCAACTTACCTCCGCCCTCCCCCGCCTCCCCCGAGGGCGGCGCGCTCGGCCTGGGGCGCCCCCTGCGGGACTGCGAGGACACAGACCTCAGGCGGCGGGGGCGCTGGAGCCAGCTGGACGCCTCTGAGGGACCTGTGCGTGGGGCACGCTGCTCCCCCTTAGCGCCCCCCACGGCAGAAGTTTGGGGTCTTCCTACATGATGGGGTTTTGCCTTGACCACCTGAGGGCGAGAAGCCAGAGCCCAGCATGACTGCGGCGGAAGACGAGAGGGTGGGGAGCGCGCTCCTGGGTTAGCTGCTAGGTCACCATGAGGACCCCTAAGAGACTGCATAGGACCAACGGGGGAGACAGACTTCCGACGGGTGGAAACACTCCAGACGAGGTACAAAATCAGGGTCCGAAATGAGAAGGAGCGGGGATTCCGCTCAAACCTCAGCTGGGCAACACACCACCTCCAAAACCCAGGAGCTTCGCTGCCCCGGCCACGTTCGGACACCAGCCAGCCAACCAGCCAACCAGCCAACCAGCCAGCCAGCTAGCCGTCCAGGCGCTCGCAACCACCGTGGACTCCAATTCCCAGAAGCCTCAACTACCAGTTCCGCCGTCGCCTTGAGCAGAAGCACTCCATTTCCCAGGAGGCCTAAAAACCGACGGCCGGAAATGGCAGGAGGAGGAGGAGGAGGGAGAGGCGGAGTCGGGCCGCGGTCTGGACTCCATTTCCCGGCCGCCCTGCAGGTGTGGCGCGTGCGCGCTGTCCCCTTGGTGGACGGAAGATGGCGGCGATGGCGGCGTCTGCGAAGAGGCGCTGCTGAGGGGGCGCGAGGGGGACGGAGGCCCGAGCCGCGGTGAGCGGGACACGGGCGTCAGGGCCTCGGGGGTGAGGGCAGCGGAGGGGCGCGGGCACAGGCACGGGCAGGGTCGGGCGGCGTTCGGGACTCTGCGCTCCTCCCTGCCCCCCATCCCTGCTGGGGACCCCTTCCTCTGGGCTCGCCCTCGAGGGGGGCCAAGTTCCAACGTGGCCCCTCCAGGGGAGAGCGCGTCAGCCCGCAGCCCTTGGTGGGCTCGGCCCGGCGTCTGCGCCCCTGCTCCGCGCCGCGCGCCTTCCCGCGTCGGAGGGGTTTTGCACGGGCAGCCCTCCGTTGCCCGTTACGTCCTTTTCATCCTATCCTTGCCTGGCTAACTCCTATCCATCCTTTGGCCTGGACGCCCACTCTCACGTCACTTCCTCTGCCAGGCCCCCCCACCGCCTTGCCTTCCCACTTTCCCACCTTCCCACTTTCCCACCTTCCGTTCCCACGTCTTGCCAGGGAACCCTCTTCCATCGGCCACCGTCCCTTGCCTCCTTCTCACAGTTTAAACCTTCATTTCCGCGTTGACTGATGGATGCCTGACCCTGAACTGGGGCTGGAACGCACTGTGTCCGTGCTCCCAGCTGTCATGCCCAGTTTGTGTTAATTAAATGAATGAATGAATGAAAAATCCTCCTTCAGGGGTAAAACTGGTTGTCCACCATGTGGTGGCAGGTGCGCTGGGATACTGGCTACTGTTCCTCGTTGTCAGACAGAAAACACTGGGGTACATCCTTGTAATAAAGCAGTGTATCATGGGAGGAATGGAGGAGACAGCCAAGGTGACAGGGGCAGGTGTGTCCCCGACCCAGTGGGCTTCCCAGAGGATGGCCCTGTGTGGCTTAACGACAGACATGTTTTAGGAAACGGGTTCTTGAGCGATTTTTTTTGAAAATGACTTATTTATTTTTATTGGAAAGGCAAACGTTACAGAGAGAAAGAAAGAAATATTTTCAGTCCTCTGGTTCACTCCCCAAATGGCTGCGACAGCCAGAGCTGAGCCAATCTGAAACCAAGAGCCCCTCTCAGATCTCCCATGCAGGTGCAGGGTCCCACAAAGCTTTGGGCCGTCTTCCATTGCTTTCCCAGGCCACAAGCAGGGAGCTGGATGGGAAGTGGAGCAGCTGGGACATGAACTGGCACTCATAGGGAATGCTGGTACCTGCAAACAGAGGGGTGAGCCAGTTGAGCCGTCACATGGTGTGTGTCTGTGGAGGGGTGGCACCCCTAGGCTGCTTCTGTGTGAACCTCATAACGTGCCTTTGCCCAAACGTATGGGCTGCTGCCGGCGTGCAGGGCGTGTGTTTTCATAGTAAGCTTGATGTGTACTCTGACATGGTGGTGACAAGTGTAATGTGAATACGTAATCTGGTAACCTATTCAGAAAGGGAATATGGATCTGCCTTAAAAAATAAGTAAGTAAATGCAAGGACAGCCCAGAAATGAGAGGAAGCTGCTTCTCTTTGGGTCTCAGTGTGTCGTCATGTGTCCAGTGGCCATGAGGGCAGTGTCGCTGCTGCACCCCTTGGCCTGCCAGGGGGAGGTGGGGGCGGGGACGGGAACGCACCGTGGCTGTCAGCACCCAGTGGTCAGGTCTGCCACGGCCACCTGTTTCCCCAGGACTTGACCTTCCTAGCCTTCAATTTCCTCCTCTGTAAATGGAGTTCCTAGGATCCTGTGTGTGGCACAGTGGGAAAGACCCTGCACAGCCCATATGTGAGTGCCAAGTTTGACTTCCTAGCTCATGTCCCAGATGACAGCAGGTGCTGGCTCAAATTTGCTCCAGTCCCTATTAGTTCCAGGCACTTGGTTTCAATTTGACGCCTAACCAGTGGGTGCAAGACCTGTCTCTAGTCAGTTACAATGTAAAACATCGCATCTGGTGTGTGGAGTGTATAGAACATTAGAATTGCCTTGGGTAACAGTTAAATGTAGCATTAGCTGTTATTTTAGGGCAGGGATCCAGAGGCCTGTGGGAGGGGAGTTTTTTCCTGCATCTTGGCGCACACAGCAGATGTGTCAAGCACACAGTAGGCGCCAAGTATTTTCCATGCTGAGGATGTTGGAATCCAGCCACTGGGAAAGCCCTGCTTCCCTGGAGCTTACAGATGAGCTGCGTGTCTGTGTCTATGCTGGGTGACCCATGCAGCCCACTCAGGGACCCAGACGGCCCCACCCATGGTGGCCATTTGGAGAGTAAATCAGCCAGTGGACGACCTCTCTCTCTCTGCCTTTCAAAGTCAATAAACAAATCAATCTTGAAGGAAAATAACGCAGTTTGCTGAGGCATCCTGGCCGGAGTCTAGCTCAGGTAGGCAGCTAGGAGGGCTGGAGGCAGCTGTGTGCCCCTGTTGGGTGAGCCGGTCAGGCCGTGCTTGGGGTCAGCTTCCCACATGTAAAGTCCTGGAGATGAGGCCTTGAGCTTGGCCTCTGACTTCAGGAACAGTAGGCACCCTCTCCCACCCCCAAGCACAAGCCCGGAGCACAGACCCTGGTCACGGGGGGGCAGGGGCTTTGAAGGGGTAGGCAGAGCAAGCACAGGCTGGGAAGGTGGCAGGCGCCGCTTGTGGGTGCTATGGCGGAGCAGGCCAGGCCAGTCTGTCCACAGCTTGCCCAGAGCGTAACCTGCCTCTTCTTTCCCAGGGAGCCTCTGACGGCAGCCATGGCGACGGGCAGCGGGGACAGTGTCACCCGCCGGAGTGTGGCGTCGCAGTTTTTCACCCAAGAGGAGGGCCCAGGCATCGATGGCATGACCACCTCAGAGCGGGTAAGTGCGACGCGAGGGACTTCGCACAGGGGCCTGGACACCTGGCGTCCCCGGATGACCTGGCCCTGGGGGCCTGAGCCGGCAAGGCCAGCTCAGTCACCTGGTCACCTGTGCATCCCTCCTTGCAGGTAGTGGATCTCCTGAACCAGGCAGCGCTGATCACCAATGATTCGAAGATCACCGTGCTCAGACAGGTGAGGGTCGGGGACCGGAATCTGTGACAACTTGGGGAATGGCACTCCAGTGTCCCCACCTAAGCCGGGAGTGTGTGCCTGCCCTGGTGGCCAAGCTGCACTAAGTTCTGTAAGACAGGAGGGGTTCCACTTACATTGTCCCGAAAGCAGCAGGCTCCAGGGCCAGGTCGTTCGTACAGGGTGCCGTGCTCATCCTCGCAGCGCTGCGTTTCCGCCCTGTCAGAGTACAGTCTGGAGTAGGTTCCTGTCATCCCCAGGCCTGGTGACCCCCACGGAGAAGGGGATGGAGCCCTGAGGCCAGTCCTGCCCCAGCTGAGGGAAGTGGTTCAGAGAGGGCTTCCTGGAGGAAGAGGAAGAGAAAGGGTTCTGAGGCTGATGACATGAAAGGGTGTGCAGAGGCCCAGGGGCGTGCGCAGCTTGGGCACTGGACCTGGTTCTGAGTGGGAGGCAGAGGGACCCCTAGAACCCAGAGGTGGCAGGGTGGGGGTCAGGGGACCCTGGGAGACTGCAGTGGTGCTGTGCATTCGGCTGTGGCCCCGGGAGCTGACTCCGTATCTGCAGTAGAGTGGATACTGATGTGCTCCCTGCAGATGACAGATCAGTCATTGGGCAACAGCACCTTGAGGTCCAGGAGCAGGGGTCCTGGCTGGCCCAGGTCGGTGTGGGGTGTCCTTGGCAAGAGCTGACTGCAAAGAGCCTGTTGGTCCATGGGTGTCAGGAGATGGTTGTCACTGTCACAGGACGCCTGTTGGACCACGGTGTTGTGGTCAGGGGCCACCTAAGGCAGGGGAAGCACTGGGGTTACCCCCCCCCCCAATCAGGTCCTTACTGCCTGCCGGGACCTGCACTTTGTTGGCTCCCGTGGAGGTCCCCTGACAGCCTTGTGAGCTGATGTTTAAGGTTCCATTTTACAGAAGCATAAGCTGAGGCTCAGAGAGAGGAGGCTGCCGGACCAGGACTGACCTGGGGGTATCCCAGAGCCA